CAATAACTTACACACTCTCCCCTCCTCCCATCCCTTCAATCATCACCAGATCTTAAAATAAAAGTAAGTGTCATGTAACTGTGCATGTCTTCTTCAGTTTGTGTATATTAAAATTAATATTTCATATGGTAAAATTTTTTTTTTTCATACTTTGGGGTGTCAGGAATGGATTAACTTGATTTCCATTATTTCTTATGGGGAAAATTAATTCGGCTAACGATAATTTCGCCTGACGTTGAGCTCTCAGGAACGGATTAATATCGTTAGGCCAGGGTCCACTGTATTTGAAAGACCACTTGCCGAATAGAAAGTTTTGGTCATAATTTGAAATCGCCATATTAGAGGAACACCGTAAAGCAAAACGCCGTAAAACAGGACCCTACTGTATAAGTCCTGTACATTTTTTTTTTCAACAAATCGGCCATCTCCCACCGAGGCAGGGTGACCCAAAAAGAAAGAAAATCCCCAAAAAGAAAATATTTTCATCATCATTCAACACTTTCACCTCAGTCACACAATCACTGTTTTTGCAGAGGTGCCCAGAATACAACAGTTTAGAAGTATATACGTATAAAAATACACAACATATCTCTCCAAACTGCCAATATCTCAAATCCTTCCTTTAGAGTGCAGGCATTGTACTTCCCATTTCCAGGACTCAAGTCCGGTTATATAAAATAACCGGTTTCCCTGAATCCCTTCATTAAATATTACCCTGTGTTACGGTTCGAATCTTAATCTTTAGCCAGGTTAGTGCACTCTGTAACAATACACTTCATAGAATGAGAAGATATTTCCAAACTTAGAAATGTAAGGCACAAATAATAGTTACTCAGTCTTTTCCTAGTCTCTTTTTATTTAAAAGCTTAAATACTTTAGATATTCACAAATATCTATTAAATATCACTTTGGTCAGAAACTTTCCTTCACACAAGAAAACTTAAATAAAATGTACATCAATATGTCAATATGGTCACTACACTTGATAATGATCAGAGGAATATTACTGCTTCCTCAATAGTAACATTACTTGTGTGCAAGTACATATATTGAGAATTAACACTTTCACTGAGTAGCTCCCTGGCATAAGGAATATATCACAAAGTTCTAAGCTTGACACTGGTCGTCACATCGTAAACTGAAGGTAACAGTATATAATTGTCCGCAGACTTCACTTCACAATAAACCACAAGCTGGTTCAGGAGTTTCTATAACACAATTCTCTATCTAAGTGAGAATAAGGTGGAGTACTGGAGGGGTAGCTCAGTCAATGTACACTGAGTCGGCAGAGAGAGCGAACTGAATTAACACAGTTAATCCATACATGACATCAACTCGCCAAAGGGAAGAGGGAATAGTAGGCTAAACTACCCTCCAAGGACATACCTTGTTTCAACTTTTAGCCAGCTGTTACCTACCTACCTAACATTACTCAAAATACGTAAATATATATATACAGTGGACCCCCGGTTAACGATATTTTTTCACTCCAGAAGTATGTTCAGGTGCCAGTAGTGACCGAATTTGTTCCCATAAGGAATATTGTGAAGTAGATTAGTCCATTTCAGACCCCCAAACATACACGTACAAACGCACTTACATAAATACACTTACATAATTGGTCGCATTCGGAGGTGATCGTTATGCGGGGGTCCACTGTATATACACATCATACCCGGGTATATTCCTAAATCAGATAATATTATAAACTAGTGGAATCTTTAATTTAGCTAATATTAAAGAACCCCCCGAGTATAATATTAAGTGGATAATACATAAATTAATCTCATTATGACCTTGGTCATAACACCCTGCTCACACTCCAACAGCTCGTCAGGTCCCAAATACCATTTGTCTCCATTCACTCCTATCTAACACGCTCACGCACGCTTGCAGGAAGTCCAAACCCCTCGCCCACAAAACCTCCTTTACTCCCTCCCTCCAACCTTTTCGAGGACGACCCCTACCCTGCCTTCCTTTCCCTACAGATTTATATGCTCTGTGTGTCATTCTACTTTGATCCATTCTCTCTAAATGACCAAACCACCTCAACAACCCCTCTTCAGCCCTCTGACTAATACTTTTATTAACTCCACACCTCCTAATTCCTTTCATTCTACGTAATGCTTCACGCACCTCCCCCACACTCACATCCTGCTCCTCTTCACTCCTAAAAGATGGTATACCTCCCTGGCCAGTGCATGAAATTACTGCCTCCCTTTCTTCGTCGACATTTAAAAGTTCCTCAAAATATTCTCACCATCTACCCAAAACCTCCATCTCCCCATCTGCTAACTCCCCTACTCTGTTTTTAACTGACAAATCCATTTGTCAGTTAATGTTGCAGTTTAAAAACTGTAGTGTAAAGCACCCTTCTGGCAAGACAGTGATGGAGTGAATGATGGTGCAAGTTTTTCTTTTTCGGGCCACCCTGCCTTGGTGGGAATCGGCCAGTGTGATAATAAAAAAAAAAATCCATTTGTTCCCTAGGCTTTCTTAACGTGTTTAACTCACTCCAAAATTTTTTCTTATTTTCATTAAAATTTCTTGACAGTGCCTCTCCCACTCTATCATCTGCTCTCCTTTTGCACTCTCTCACCACTCTTCACCTTTCTTTTACTCTCCATATACTCTGCTCTTCGTAACACTTCTGCTTTGTAAATACCTCTCATAAGCTGCCTTTTTCTCTTTTATCACACCCTTTACTTCATCATTCCACCAATCACTCCTCTTTTCTCCTGCACCCACCCTCCTATAACCACAAATTTCTGCCCCACATTCTAATACTGCGTTTTTAAAACTATTCTAACCCTCTTCAACCCCCCTCCCTCCCCCACTACTCATACTTGCACCTGCCCACCTTTCTGCCAATAGTTGCTTATATTTCACCCAAACTTCCTCCTCCCTTAGTTTATACACTTTCACCTCCCTCTTACTTGTTGTTGCCATTTTCCTCTTATCCCATCTACCTCTTACTCTAACTGTAGCTACAACTAGATAATGATCCGATATATCAGTTGCCCCTCTATAAACATGTACATCCTGGAGACTATCATCAACCTTTTATCCACCAATACATAATCTAACAAACTACACCTACCATCTGACTTATGACCTGCTCGAAATACGACCACTCGACTTACGACCGTGTTTTTTATGCCAAATTTCTGGGAAATAAACAACTGCTTGCGTTGTACACAGTGTTTATCCTAAACCTTACAGTATAAAATACAGTACTAACAGCATAAAAAGTAAAGTAAAAAATGGAATACCAAAAAAACAATAAAATAAAGTCATTTCAAAAATGTGATGTTGATATTCAGTATTAAAGTTCGACTTACGTCCATTTTGACTTACGACCGGTTGGTCGGAACCAAGCTCGGTCGTAAGTTGGATGGTAGGTGTACTTTCATTACGTGCTACATCACACCTTGTATATTTATTTATCCTCTTTTTCATAAAATATGTATTACTTATTACCAAACCTCTTTCTACACATAGCTCAATTCAAGGCTCCCCATTTTCATTTACCCCTGGCACCCCAAATTTACCTACTACTCCCTCCACAACATTTTTACCCACTTTAGCACTAAAATCCCCAACTACAAGTACTCTCACACTTGGTTCAAAACTCCCCACACATTCACTCAACATTTCCCAAAATCTCTCTCTCTCTCCTCTATACTTCTCTCTTCCCCAGGTGCATATACGCTTACTATAACCCACTTCTCACATCCAACCTTTATTTTACTCCGCATAATCCTTGAATTAATACATTTATAGTCCTTCTTTTCTTGCCATAGCTTATCCTTCAACATTATTGCTACTCCTTCTTTAGCTCTAACTCTAGCTCTAACCTATTATAAAGTTTAATTGATAAATTATGCACAATAACTGGAGAATTATCACTTTTTCACTGATGGGAAGCACTTACACCTTCTCTTAGGCTTTGAAGAACTGCCAGGTTCTCTACTTTTGTGCTTTGGGGCCATTATGCAAAATTAAGAGGTATTTTTGGACCACAGTAAACCGTGGATAACTGAAACAGCGGATACCAAATCAGTGGATATAGGGGGTTCTACTGTATTTATACATCAAGACTCTCTACACAGTGGAATCATATTGGGAACCTATAAAATCTTAAAGAAGTTAAAGATGCAGCTTTAACCTGGCAAAAGAATGATTCCAAGGCATTGGTTATGATATACTATTGGCATATGATCTTTTGGTAACCCTCAACTTAAACAACGTATCTTGTAACAATAATAAGGCATTTTTACACAACAATGAGTTCTCAAAAACAATAACAAGGATTCCAATGGAAATACCGTAGCTTAACTATATTTGTACACTTTATTTACAGTGCATAAATTACATAGCAGGATAGTTAGTGCATATTTATGAATAAAAAGTATCTATAATATTACTCAAGTTGGTAAAATATGCTCTGAAAGCCAAACCAAAAATACAGTAAAACTCATGTTAAATTTTGTTTAAGTTCCAGCTAAGTATATATGTCTGCCAGCAATATATAATACTAAATCACCAGTCTATGTTATTATGAGCAGTGGGAAAAAATGGTGCTTGTTTAAAATGACATGCAAAGTATATCCACTAACAGACAGATAATTTTTAATCTGGCAAGGCAGATACTGAATGAATGATGGTGAATGTGTTAATTTCTCTGGGTCTCCCTACACCTTAGTGGAAATTGACTATAGGTTAAAAAAAAAAAAGCTATTTTTGTATTACTGGCATGTTATTTTTCTGGCATTTTTTGATAAATGCACCTGCAGTGTTAGCCACATCCCCAAGATTCCATAACTTATGTAACAAATCACTTGAAACTCTAATTTAAAGTCACTTCTATATTACCTGCTTTAGTATATACCTTCTGATTATATCATCATCCCAAAATTTTAAGCTGGAATTTACGAGTAATTCCCCATACAATAAAGAACACTCCCACACACAAACAATACATTACCAGAGATACAAACCTAGCACTGCATGAGGATGCAAAACACGTAGCCCTTCTGTCTTTCCTTCCGATACAATCCAGACTACAGTTTTCGTATCTGTACCAGTTGAGATCAGAAAATGACCCATGGAATTTAATGGCTGGATCCATCTTACACAAGTAATCCTGTTGGTATGTACCTTTGTACTAGCCCCAGTCACTGCCCCACTCTGCAGATAAAAAATGATTATTTCTACTTAAATTGTGATGATGGTCTCCTATTGCAAAAGACTGAATTCTTTTCTAGAAAGTGTGGAGGATGTCTCTCTAGAGCAGCAGCAAAAGAGGAAAAGAATGAATAGGAAGAGGAGGAAAGAGGGGATTGGGGAGGAAAGAAGGTATGAGAGTTCCTGGGAGGATGTAGGGTAAGAGATAGGAGGGTTAATGGAAGGAGGGAGAGCAGGAAGAAAGAAATAGGTGAGGAATGAAGGGAATGGGGGATGAGAAAGATGAGTGTACAGGTAGGAGAGGTGGCAGGTTAAGAAAGGAAGAAAGTGAGGGAGGAGACAGGAAATAGGAAGGGGAAGGAAAAGATTAAAATGAGCAAGTGGTAATAAGGATATACCAAAAGCAGGAACTTTAATTAGTAATAATAATAATAATAATAATAAATAATAATAATAATAATAATAATAATAATAATAAATCATTATTTCTACAAGTACATGATACAACTTATAAAAACCTAGCTGACATCAATGACATGCTATATCGAAAGCCTCAGGTTATGACAGAGCATTTTGGGCAACTTAGGTTACTTTCATCCCCAGGATGCAACATACACCAGTTTGCTAATACCCAGGTACCTACTTGCTGCTAAGTGAACAAGGACAGCAGATGTCTTAAAAAATACACACCCAATGTTTCCACCCGTACTGGGGATCAAACCATGGACCTCAATGTGTGAGTTGAGTGCACTGTCAACCCATCTAAGGGACACCTACAAGACACCAACGAGAATTAAGGAGTAGGTAGGAAGGGAAAAAGAGAATGGGATGACGTCGGAGGTAAGAGGTTTGAGAAGAACAAGAGAGTACTGTACATGGGTAACAGCAAATAGAAAACTTGTGTCTATATCAAATAGTTAGCGTAAATGCCCACTAAAAAAAAAAAAAAAATTACCAGTTTTTTGGGTTAAGAAGTGCATAAAAGTGGGGTAATGTGGGGAAAACTGTTTCCTCCTATATGTTTTAAAATATGTACAATACAATAAAACAATCTAATAGGCCATTACTTAATGGTAACTAACTGTTTGACACCTGCTGGAGACTTAGGAAATATGACAGGATGATAAGAAAGAGTTAAAAGGAATGCAGTCAACAGAATGAGAGACAACTGTGTTTAATTTATGAAATAATGTCTGTACTTTAGATACATACAAACTCAACAATGCCTAACAGCAGGCAACATGTTAGAAGAGGATTTTATCCACCTGTCATATTGTCAGTACCTGGAGTTTACCTGGAGAGGGTTTCGGGGGTGAACGCCCCCGCGGCCCAGTCTGAGACCAGGCCTCATGGTGGATCAGGGTCTGATCAACCAGGCTGTTACTGCTGGCCGCACGCAAGCTGACGTACAAACCACAGCCCAGTTGGTCAGGTACTGACTTTAGGTGTCTGTCCAGTGCCTTCTTGAAGACAGCCAGGGGTCTATTGGTAATCCCCCTTATGTATGCTGGGAGGCAACTGAACAGTCTTGTGCCCCTGACACTTACTGTGTTGTTTCTCAGTGTACTCGTGGTGCCCCTGCTTTTCATCGGGGCAATGTTGCATCTCCTGCCGAGTCTTTTGCTTTCATATGGAGCATGAGGTCTACACTTTAGCGTGTGGTCTAACCTAGCCTAACCAGGTTAGGTTAGGTTTGACTAGGTTGGGTTAATTATAACATAAAAGGTAGACCACACATTAAAAGTCAGTTCACAGCTTAGACTATGAATACTGCGGTAGACTGCATGCTAAAGTAGCACCTTAGTGGCTTTCTTTTTTGCTTAACAATATTTGATTACATGTAGACTACATTATGTAAACTGCACAAAGAAATAGTGTGCTTGTTTGTTTACATGGATAATGATAATACAATAATAACTTACAAATGGCCCAGGATAGAACTCTAGACGAGTGAAAATGTTAGATAAGATTTTGTTTGGATTTTTAACCTCAGAGGGTTAGCCAAGCAGGACAACCCAAGGAAGGCAGTGCGTTATTGAGGGACTGTCTGTCTTATTTCCACTGGGGTCCTCAATCTTGATCCCCAGGATGCTACCCATACCAGTTAACTAATACCCAGGTACCTACTTGTTCGCTAGATGAATGGGACAACAGGTGTAAGGAAACACCCTCGATGTTTCCACCCTTACCGGGGATCGATTATTATTGTAATCATGGAGAAGCGCTAAACCCATAGGATTATACAGTGCCTTTTAGCATAGATCCAATTCCCTAGATCAAGAGCCCCTCACCAGCGTCAAGGAACCTCCCTTGAGGGGCTACCGGGGATCGAACCACAGACACTCAGCGTGTGAAGCGAAAGCATTGCCTACCAGGCCACGGGACACCAGTGGGTGGCATCCTGGGGAAGACGATCAAAGAACTCCAGTAGAAATACGATATACTTATCTGGCGCCCTTGGGTTACTGTCCCTCAGGGTTAATAATCCGAAAATCTTCTAAAATATCGTCTTACCTTTGGGTCATAGAGTAGGACTCCAGTGTTGGCAGCATAAGCCACAGTGCCATCCAGGCCCCAGGTGATGCAGGACGGTGTGGAATTCACCCCAGAGGACACGTAACACACACCAGCCTTCATTGTCTTTCTCCTTCCTCTTATTGGGGTTGTAAGATCCCTTGACGGCTTCCTGTCCTCTTGTTGTGGTTGTAAGATCCCCTGACGGCTTACCAGTCCTCTTGTTGGGGTTGTAAGATCCCCTGACGGCTTCCCCGTCCTCTTGTTGGGGTTCTAAGATCCCCTGACGGCTTCCCTGTCCTCTTGTTGGGGTTGTAAGATCCCCTGACGGCTTCCCTGTCCTCTTGTTGGGGTTGTAAGATCCCCTGAAGGCTTCCCTCTCTTCTTGTTGGGTTTGTTAGATCCCCTGATAACTTAGGAAGTATAGAGTCTGGCTTCAAGGTCCTCTTGTTGGGTTTGTAAGATTCCGTGACAACTTAGGAAGTATTGAGTCCGGCTTCCCTCTCTCTCTCTCTCTCTCTCTCGCTCATCTCCATCTTCCATCCACCTTCCTTCTCCCCCAGTCTTTCCACCTCCTCTATCTACCCCCTAGCCTCTCCCACACTCCCTTTCTCCTCCCTCCCTATACTCTCTTGTAACCCCTAAAACTCTCCTTGATTCAATTCAAATTCAAATTCAAAGTTTATTCTCTATAAGGATTACAATGTTGAATTTACAGAATTTGGTTATTGTGTGGTTTACATGTAGTTAAGCTCCAGGCAGACATCAACCAAATCTTTCAGTGGGCTGCAGAAAACAATATGAAGTTCAACGATGAGAAATTTCAATTACTCAGATATGGTAAACATGAGGAAATTAAATCTTCATCAGAGTACAAAACAAATTCTGGCCACAAAATAGAGCGAAACACCAACGTCAAAGACCTGGGAGTGATCATGTCGGAGGATCTCACCTTCAAGGACCATAACATTGTATCAATCGCATCTGCTAGAAAAATGACAGGATGGATAATGAGAACCTTCAAAACTAGGGAGGCCAAGCCCATGATGACACTCTTCAGGTCACTTGTTCTATCTAGGCTGGAATATTGCTGCACACTAACAGCACCTTTCAAGGCAGGTGAAATTGCCGACCTAGAAAATGTACAGAGAACTTTCACGGCGCGCATAACGGAGATAAAACACCTCAATTATTGGGAGCGCTTGAGGTTCCTAAACCTGTATTCCTGGAACGCAGGAGGGAGAGATACATGATTATATACACCTGGAAAATCCTAGAGGGACTAGTACCGAACTTGCACACGAAAATCACCCACTACGAAAGCAAAAGACTTGGCAGACGATAGCACCATCCCCCCAATGAAAAGCAGGGGTGTCACTAGCACGTTAAGAGACCATACAATAAGTGTCAGGGGCCCGAGACTGTTCAACTGCCTCCCAGCACACATAAGGGGATTACCAACAGACCCCTGGCAGTCTTCAAGCTGGCACTGGACAAGCACCTAAAGTCAGTTCCGGATCAGCCGGGCTGTGGCTCGTATGTTGGTTTGCGTGCAGCCAGCACACAGCCTGGTTGATCAGGCTCTGATCCACCAGGAGGCCTGGTCTCAGACCGGGCCGCGAGGGCGTTGACCCCCGGAACTCTCTCCAGGTAAACTCCAGGTAAATAATGATTACAGAGTGTACCACTAGAACGCCTAGCATGGCTAGGCATTTCGGGCAGACTTAGTTTAATTCTTTATTTTAAAATATTACAAATTATGAGGTAAGTTGGTATTATGGCTAAGTGACTAAATACTACTTTGTGAGTTTAGCAATGTGAATGCTTTTGTTTTGGCACAGTACATAGTTTCAGTATTGGAGTATCATAGGATTCATTATTTTAAGATTGTGATTAATATTTCTGTTTATGGTCAAATGGGTGAGTGAGTGTAAGTGTGAACCACCAGGTGGTATTCGTTTGTAGTTAGTTGATGGGGTGTATCAGGGAGATAAGATGTTTTCTAATGGTAGTTTTGAAGGTGATGAATGTGTCTGCAGTTCTAGAGTTCTCAGGTAGGGTGTTCCAGATTTTAGGGCCTTTGACATACATTGAATTTTTGTAAAGGTTTAGTCGGACACGGGGAATGTCGTAGAGATGTTTGTGTCTGGTGTTATGCCTGTGGGTTCTGTCACAACTATCAAGAAAGCTTTTTTAGGTCAACGTTGATATTGGAGTTTAAGGTCCTGTAGTGTAGATTGCACAGTAGTAAGTGTGGATGTACTGAACAGGGAGTAAGTTTAGATCTATGAAGAGTGGGGGGGGGGGTGTTGCCGGGGATGGGATTTATGATTATTCTTACTGCAGCTTTTTTTGGGTTATTATTGGCTTTAGGTGTGTTGCTGCAGTTGATCCCCAAGCACAAATAGCATAGGTGAGGTATGGCAAATAGTGAGTGGTATAGTGTGAGAATGGCATTTTGCGGCACGTAGTATTCGTATCTTGGAGAGGATCCCAACCGTTTTGGATACTTTTTTGGTTATGTGTTGGATATGGGTGCTGAAATTCAGGTTAGTTGGTCAAGGTATAGGCCTAGGAATTTGCCCTCATTATGTCTGGTAATTAGAGTGTTGTCGATCTTAATGTTAATTTGTGCATCTCCTGCTCTGCTACCAAACATAATGTAGTAGGTTTTGTCAGTGTTAAGCGTAAGTTTATTGGCTGTCATCCAAGTCGATATTTTGATCAGCTTCTCGTTAACAATGGTGTTGAGGGTGGCAAGATTAGGGTGAGAGATGACATAAGTCGTGTCGTCAGCAAAGAGAATGGGTTTCAGGTGTTGGGATACGTATGGAAGATCATTGATGTATATGAGGAAGAGCAGGGGACCAAGGACACCAGTATCAAGTGGCCGTGTTGTTGATGCTGTGTCTTTAATGGTGACATACTGATACCTATTAGTAAGGTAAGATTTGAAATAAGCAAGCGCATGGCCTCTTATACCGTAATGGTCAAATTTGTGGAGTAGGATGTCGTGGTCTACTGTGTCAAAAGCTTTTCTTAGGTCAATAAAAATTCCTAGTGGATATTCCTTATTTTCCAATGCTGTGTAAAGCAGATCTAGCATTTTTATGATTGCATCATTAGTGCTTTTATTTTTCCTGAATCCAAATTGGCAGGGGTTGAGTATGTTTTGTGCCGTTATAAATGAATATAGTCTCCTGTGCTCCCCCTGTGCTCCCCCCCTTTCCACCCAAAATCCTTTCCTCCCTGACATGCCTCCCTACCCCTCCCCCTACCTGCAACACCCATCCTCACAGAAACTTCGTTCTGTGGTACAATGGGGCCAAAAATAAGGCTGAGAGTTGGGAAGGATGATTGGGAAGCAGAGCTCAAAGGGAGGAAGACTGAGGAATGAAGCTAGAAGAGCTTGGAAGAAGGATGGAGGAGATAGTAGCTGTAGAGAGAAGGTGGGAACAACATGCCATAAGGCAGAAGACAAGATACAACGCTTAGAAGAGGAACTGAACAATCTGAAACAGCCTAAAGAAATAACAGTACGACATAACATCAGGAACTTTTACATCAGACACAGACAAGGGGACTGGAGAGAGCAAGGAAGCTATACTGTATGCAAAGGGCCGGTCAGACCCACACGGGGCCAAAGCAATGACAAGGAGCACACTAGGAACAAATGAGAGATCGGGAGACATTGAAGGAGCTAGGATATATGTAGGGACTCTACCAGACTCCTGCAGGGGCCAGGAACAGCTGAGCAGGAAAGACAGACCAATGAGCAATGGAGCCTCAGCTAGGGAAGGGAATGAAGGAAGGAACATTTCAAGGGAAGGAACTAAAACACCTCAGAGGATGCAATGGGAGACACAGTGGGAGGAAGAATGGGAGAGATCAATTTTTGTCTATGGGCTCCAGGAAGCCGATGGGGAAGCCTACAAGGAAAGAAAAACAGGAGAAGATAAAAGCGATTGAAGGTATCATGAAGGCAATAGGCGAAGGCGATATGAACCAGATGGCAAATTTTCGGAGAATTGGGTGGTTCGCAAGGAGAAGGAAGTGACCTCTCAAAGTAATTTTCAAGGCAGAATCAACTCGAACCATGATCCTGCAGGAGAAAGCATGGCTGAGAGACAAACTGGAATTCCAGAGTGTGTACCTCGACCAAGACAGAACGCAAGAGGAAAGGAAGATACTGAAAGAGAGAGTGCAAAAACGAAAGGAGGATTGGGAGGAAGAGACAAAGAGAAGCAGAAGAACCCAGACACAGGTAGAAGGGCAAACACACCCCCCAGAAACACCCGCAGAAGGACTCCAACCGCGACAACCCCAAGACAACTGAACAATCTAAGCCAACAATGAAACACTGATCCCCCTGTCCCCACCCCTACACCACAAACCCCAACATTACAGCAACCCCCTATGGGAACTCAACTCCCACCACAACCCCCCATAGGCCCCTGCCAGGACTCCTACTCTCCCAACCCCAATATCCTCCCAGGACCACAGTTTTGGAACAGAAGTTGAAGGTTTTGTGCATGAATGCGGATGGAATAACAAACAAATATGAGGAGTGGCATGAAAGAATCAATGAGAAATCCCCAGACATCATAGCAGTCACAGAAACGAAACTCACTGAGACAATAAAAGATGCAATCTTCCCACCAGGATATCAGATCCTGAGGAAAGACAGAAGGAGCAGAGGGGGAGGAAGGGTTGCACTGCTCATAAAACATCGATGGAAATTTGAGGAAATGGGAAGCATGGACGAGATTGGAAGAGAATATGTAGTAGGTACACTTCAGTCTGGGGAGCACAAGGTAGTCATTGCAGTGATATATAATCCACCACAGAACTGCAGGAGGCCAAGAGAGGAATACAAAGAGAGTAACAGAGCAATGGTGGGCACACTGGCTGAGGTGGCAAGAAGAGCTCACTCGAGCAGAGCAAAGTTACTGCTTATGGGCGATATCAATCACAGGGAGATTGACTGGGAAAACCTGGAACCACACGGGGGTCCCGAAACATGGAGAGCCAAGATGATGGATGTGGTACTGGAAAACCTCATGCATCAACATGTTAAGGATACTACCAGAGAAAGAGGGGAGAATGAACCAGCAAGACTGGACCCTGAGCAGTTCAGACATTGAGGACATCACGTATGAGAGACCCCTAGGAGCTAGTGACCACATGATTCTGTGCTTTGAATACATAGTAGAGCTACAGTGGAGAGGGTAACAGGAGATGAACGGGAAAAGCCAGACTAAAAACGGGGATCTCTACATAGGTTTGAGTAGCTTCCTGCAAGAGGTTCAGTGGGACAGAAAGCTGGTAGAAAAGTCGGTAAATGAAATGATGGAAT